TAGTGCCACAACGTTCCTTCTTCAAAAGTTGTTTAGTACCTGTAATTACTGAGTCCCTGGGACATACAAGTAGTTTTGAAAGAGTAGATCAACATTTAAGCTGGTGAGTTTCATAAGCATTTAATGATAGTATTTGTATGAAAATGAAATGGTTCGTTTTTGTTCGTAAGTCTCTAGAAAATCCCATATTTCCTACTGGTATAAATGTAGCCTTAAATCAAGACCAATATACGTTAAAAAATTGATGTTTTTCCATCTATGAGTAGTGGTTAGAAGTTCCAAACTTATATCACAATTGGGTTTTTCATGCGTAAAATAAATGAACTTATGTAAGTATAAAACCTCCATTATATTTGAAAACCCCCGTAAATCAATGTGTTTTTAATACTCTATGTGAGTTTTATAACCATGCTATTGACAAGGAATGCCTATACACAACGTTCTTCAGGCATTGGAATGTTCTGACGTTTGTCACCCCAAATGGTGTATTATAGCTAACAGTCAGGGCGCGGGGTTGTCAAGCCCGTATAAATCTATACACAAACACCATGCTCCCCCTCCAAGGGATTATGATATATAATATAGGACTTGAAATGTGTACTCGTGCGTACGTGAAGTTTAATGTCTCACAAAACTTAGTATAAAACAGATTTACATGTGAAAATGTTCGTTTGTTATTGTATATGAAAGTAGCTTCTTGAAATAGTATTTCTCACGTATGTAAAAGTTCGTAGTATTCTCGTAAAACTATACCTACTATAGTTTCCTAAAAGTGTGTTTCGTTTGTATAATAAACCCTTAGTGAAAATGCTCACTTGTTATGAAAAGTGTAGTTTTTGTAGTGCCAAATCTGACACACATAGATATAGTATAAGCAAAGTGTATGATTTGTATAAATACATAAATCAATTTCTTATTTCAAAAGATAAAATGTTGTCGTGGTATAATTTACATATGAGAGTTTACCTATAATAGTTATAAATCACATATGATTCCGTTGATAAAACGCGTATAGTGAAAGTTTATATAACACACAATAATAATCGAGTGTTTTACTTGTATTCCCCCCCTTAAAAGCATATAAAAGTACTCATAAAACATTTAAAAGTGTGAATTATAGGGGTATGAACTCACTTGAAAGATCGGAGGAGGCGGGATGAAAACCGAACAGAATTTCGACTCGAGAAAGCGGATTTCCTCGGGATTCTCGGGAATCTCGGGAGCACAAACGACCTTCGGGACTTGAGCAAAGTGATCGGGGCTTCGGGGTAGCACGAGCACGGAAAACGAGGCAAGAACGCAAGAGAAATGAGAGAAATAGTGCCCTTTCTTTGGAACCCTCGCATCCGTTTTATAGGGGCTAGGAACTGCCTCAGTACGCTGGGCGTACGCGTGTGTCACGCATGACCGAATCCTCGACTGCCTCGGAGCTCGGATGGGACGGGGCATAGTCTCGCATAGGGCGCGACGTGGACGATCCGAGGCCAAGGCCTCGAGTACGCTGGGTGTAACCATGTACGCTGGGCGTACTCGCGTGACTCAGCCTTCGGATAATACCGAAGATTTCAATAAAAAAAATATATACTTAATATTTAATAAACTTCAAAAATTCATACCTTCTTCATACGAACTCCGTTATCGACGTTTTTTTATATCCACGCGTAGGTGAGACCATACTCTACAACTTTCGTTTATATCCCGTCGACAAATTTTGAAATTATTTTTATTATTTATTTTTAAAAGGTCGCGGTAAGAAAATTTCTTTAGAAATTCATAACTTTTTTATCTAACGTCAGTTTTTGCCAGACTTTTTACCGCTGAAATACCATTGTCGAGACCTTCGATTCTCGTTTAGGTCATTCCAGCCAAAAGTCGCTCGATCTCCGATTCGAGTTTTTAGCCGTCTGTCGTTAAGCCGAACTTGAAAAAATCATAACTTCAATATACGAAGTCGGATTTGGGCGTTCTTTTTACGTACGATCACGATTTAATGACATCTAACATAATAGGTAATTTAATTAGTGATTTTTGGATATTTTATTTTCGAAGTTAATTTTATTATAACGAACGTAGTTACAATACTTGACTTTTTAGGTCGTTTACATATAGTTGAAATATCGGGTTGTCACAAGTCGTCCCACCACATCTTCAAAGCCAACTAATTTCAAGTCCAACACCTGTTCAAGGGAGGCAACGATCTGGATGAACTTCGATCAGGGCAGTGTTTTGAGGAACTTTTTTTCCAACTTCGATTCATCAATGGTTTCTCCTAGGGCTGCTGATTTAGACGCGATTCCAGATAGCTTTCCAGCATAGCTATCAATCGTTTCAGATTCTTACATCTTCAATCGATCAAATTCTGCGTTTAGGGTTTGCAATCGGGCCTTTTTCACCCTATCAGCTCCTACATAGCGAGCCTTGATCGATTCCCACAGTTCCTTGGCAGATTCCACATCTCCGATTTGCATGATTAGATCTTCCGGGATTGCCTGATACAACAATCCTATTGCAAGGTAATCTTTCTCTTCTTTCTTTTCTGTTCCTGGATCGATCACTATCCAAGCCTTGTGAATTCTAAGCACCACCTTCATACGCAGGGCCCAGACAGTGTAATTTGTTAGTGTGAGCATCGGACAGACAACAGAAGTCGCTCCTACCTCCTTAGTCCTCACCGGAGCAGGTCCTCCGTTTTCCCCTACATCAACCATGTTGACCTGACTCGTCAACAGGTAAAATCGATCTCACAGCTTCTTGTTTCTTAGCTCTGATACCAATTAAAGATTGGAATATGTAAACACGATTGTTTTAATCAAAATAACTCTTTGGTTATATGAGAAACTCTCTCAAAACTCACGATATTACAATTTTTCCAGTGATCATTGCTCGACCTAAAACAATGTATATATAATCCTAACTACTGACTTGTAATTAGATTACAATTAGGAAACTAGAAACCTACTTGTTTATGATTTCCTAAAAACTAGATTGCTATTACTCGGTCTCCAAATCCTAGTCAACTTAGGATTCCAACGGACATAAATTTAATTATTAAATATTTAAATAGTTTAAGCAATCATAAAGTTAAATAGCATAAAGTACGTCAAAGTATATTCTTTTATTTGTTTGTAGATTATAATATAGAAATTAGTTTTAATATTTTTAATTTTTAAAATACAAACAAATAGATAAATTATATAATTATAGTGTAATATGATAAATAAAGTTACATATTTAACTTATTTTTTTATTTATTTTTTATTTTATTTTATTTTATTTTTTTTGAAAACGGCAAATCTGACCTACTCCTAAACTACACCTTAAATCCACATATATCTACGACGAGACTTGCACCCTCAACATTAAGGAGGGAGGACAACACCGAATATCGCTCGGTTACAAACCCTTTGGTTTACATATTTAAATGCAATATAGAAATAAAAATGAATAGTTGATTTTCATTAATGCTTCCAAGCCTTTCAAGATTAGAAAGGCCTAAACATTTGTAAGGCATTGCAAGAAGTTTTGAAAGATCAGTAGCCTTTTTTTTAGCAAGCTTTGCCTTCACTACCAAGTGTCAAATTCCAAATTATATTATTTTGTCAAATCATAAACATATATTATTTTATTCATTTTTTATGATATGGTATTTTTTTTAAATATCCCTAACAAAAAAATAAAAGAACACGATTTAAATTTTAAAAGAGATTTTAACTCAACAATGTTTCGTAAATTTGTTTAAATGGATTCTCGTTTATTATTATTATTATTATTATTATTATTATTATTATTATTATTATTATTTTGCGTTTAAAGGGTAAGAGCTTATGTTTTTAGATTTTAAAATGTCATTATAAAAAATTTGAAGAGGTCACATGATTACCCCATTGTAATCATGAATTTGGGTTGTTGACGAGGCTTTGACACACCACACAAACACATCACAATCCATTCTATTTGTTCCTTTTTAATTCATTTTGGCTTCTAATTTTTATGATCGGAGCATCCAACAATTTCAGTTGTTAATCGATGATCATCGACAGCTAAATGTTATCACAACCGGATTCTATTGAATCATTACCACTTGCGAGGCCGGAATCCGCCATCGGTGAACCACCACCGCCGTCATCCTCCTCCGAAGACCTCTTCTCTTCCGCTTCCCTTGTATGTGCGTCTGGCTCTGCCTCCTCCCCCTCCTTATTCGATGACAACCAAAAACCCTATCCCGCCTCTGATCCTTTTTAAAATCGTCCTCAGATCCCCATTACATGGCCTCTAGTGCAGCTCTAACATTAGATTGGGTAACAAACCTCATGTAAACCTTCAATTGGGCATCGAAGAAGCTTAGACCGTCGGAACTCCTAATAGTGTTGTCGGTGGAAGTTTTCGATGCTTTGGTGCTTACTGCAGGAGAGACGAAAGTTTCAAGAGTACGGTTGCCCCTTTCTTGCCATAACATGAATCGAAATACGATCATGTTGAGCTGAATCGCAGACCCCCTCCCTTTCTCGCTAAATCGCCTCTCTGTATTTGATCTTCTCTTTCTGTTTGTTTCTTTTATTTTTAGCACAAGTAACAGTTGGTGATGATGGTTGTGTATTAAGTGGTTATATAGAAATGGTTGGTAATGATGGTTGTGTATCAAGTGGTTTTATAGTGATGAACTAAAGTTGTAATCAATATATCAGGTAAGGGGGAAGCTGGTGTCTTTGGGGATTTTGGTGTTGGGTTTGGATTAATGGTTACGAAGGTTGAATTAGTCGGGTGTTTTTGGGGTTCTTGATTTTGTGCCTTGCTTTTTTCCATGATGAAGAACACAAAGGAACCAAAGGTTTGGGTATTCTTGCTTTTCTCTCTAATGAAGAAGACCAAGTTCGATTTTCTACTTAAACTCTTGGCTTATGTGGCAACGATGAATCGACTTACAACTGAGTCATTGTTGGGTTACATGCTTATTTAACACTTGACAAAGACATGTAACTTTCAAAAATAGATAAAAATACGAAATTAACCGGTAAAACAAAAGTTTGTACCCTCTAAATAAAAAAAAAAAATATCCCAAAGAACCATTTAAATCAATCAATATATGGAATATTGTTGTGCAGCCGATTAATGCTTTTGTCTCAACATCCAGCCCCTCCCTGTTGACTTACTCTACCGGTCACCGTCACCACCTAAACCCCTTCTTGCTACTTACGTCCTGCCATGGATGTTACCATGTTTCTATTTAATCCAGCTTCCACTCAAGAACAATCAGCAATCTAATTAGGGTTTGATCCGATCAGAGACAATGAAAGGAGGAGTGAGAAGGATTAAGCTCGGATCACAAGGTATGGAGGTATCAACTCTCGGATTAGGATGCATGGGAATGTCTGCTGGTTATGGACCTCCCAAACCCGAAGAAGACATGATCAAACTCATCCACCACGCCGTCAACTCCGGCGTCACTCATCTCGATACTTCCGATTTCTACGGCCCTTACACCAACGAAATCCTCATCGGCAAGGTCGTTCATTCAATCATTCATTTTCCTTTTGATTCTCGTTGTTGATTAAACCAGACGTTGATTTTCTCGATTTCGTTTCTGATCCAGGCGTTGAAGGGATTGGAAAGAGGAAGTGTTCAATTGGCAACGAAATTTGGGATCAAATCGTTGGTTGGAGAAGGCGAAATCTGTGGAGATCCAGAGTATGTTAGGGCTTGTTGTGAGGATAGTTTGAAACGCCTTGATGTTGATTACATCGATCTGTATTATATCCATCGCGTTGACCCTCGTGTTCCTATCGAAATCACGGTTAGCATTTTCTGACTCCCTTTTCTCTTGATCTACATAAATTTGCTTAAATTCATATTCGCATTAGATTGTTGCTCAACGAAGAACAATGGTTGTAGATGGGAGAACTGAAGAAACTAGTTGAAGAGGGTAAAATCAGATATATTGGTCTATCGGAGGCTTCACCTTCAACGATTAGAAGAGCACATGCTGTTCATCCGATTACTGCTGTACAGTTAGAGTGGTCGCTGTGGACTAGAGTCCCTGAAGAAGAAGTAATTCCAACTTGCAGGTACGCCATTGGCCAAGGTGTGTAACAATGGCGTTTGGCCTAATTGGCATCTAATCGAGTTCGAATTCCTTTTTCTTTGATTGTGTGATTTTCAGAGAGTTAGGTATCGGGATTGTTCCATTTGGTCCTCTTGGAAGTGGATTCTTGGCTTCTGGGCCAAAGTTACTTGAGGGCTTGACAGATTCCGATTTTAGGAAGGTTTGTGTTTTTAAATCTCCACGTAGCAATGGATTTTTTTTAATTAATGATTTTGAGGTATTGTTTAAAAATAAACTAATTTGTTGTGATAAAACCATAAAAAGTAGTTTATCTTTAACTTATAAAGTAGTTTTTGATAAACTATTTTCGATAACTTTTAATAAACTTATAATTTTTTTTTTTATTTTATAAATATTCTAAATATACCCTTTAATTTGTATATTATAAGTATTTGTAAGATTAATAAATAAGTTCAAATAGCTTTAAACAAAAGAAATACCAATTTATGTTTATATATTTGCTAAAATACAATTTTACTTTCCTTTTATTTTTATTACATCAATTAGGTGTAAGAACCATGTATCGAGTTAATTATAAAAACTAAATATAAAGGTATAAATATTTAAGAATTTTGGATTTATAAAAAAATAAGAAAAATAATAAATTATTAAAATTGATTTTTTTTATCTTTTAAATTAAAATAAATAAACAAAATAAACTAATAAGCTTTAATTTATGAATTTTGAAATAAGAAGGTAAGTCTATTAATGAAATTGATATTCATTTATTACCATATTTATTGTAATTATTACATTAAAGTATTAGGTGTAATTTATTAAAATAAAAAACCCATTAAATTTCATGTGAAAAAGAAATCAATTTAAAATAACCATAAAATGATATTTGACAAATTGAATGAGATTGTGACGTGTGTGACAAAAAAATACTCAGTATGCTTTAAAATATCCACTAAATTATAACATTGTTCCGATGCAAAGCAATTTCTATTTTTATAACTGGACATATTTTTCAAAATATAATGTATTAAGAAAAATTTAAAATTACAATGCTATAATGTTAGATTCTTTGAAGTACATTGGTTTAAAAACTATAAAATAAAGATACATGTCCTAATGGGAAAAATAAAAGTAAGCTTTTTAATAAACAATTAACTAAAAGCAAATTGTTATTTCTTTTATTTACTCAATTTCAAATATCTTTACAAACCTTCTATTGTATTTCTTTAGTATTTGCCACGATTACAAGGGGAGAACTTGGAACATAATAAGATCACATTCGAAAGAATTCATGAAATTGCCCAGAAGAAAGGGTGTACCCCCTCCCAGTTAGCATTGGCGTGGGTCCTACACCAAGGGTTCGATGTGGGTCCTATCCCGGGGACCACAAAGATCGAGAACTTGAACCAGAACATTGAATCTTTATATGTAAAGCTCTCACCACAAGACATGGTTGAGCTTGAATCTATTGCTTCTATTGATGCTTTCAAGGGTAGTAGATTACCTCCGACAATTTTGGCTCATTCAAATGTTGAAACTCCTCATTTATGATCATATGGATAACTAGCAAGTCATCCATTCGATATGAGATGACTGATCCTGTCATTTATCATATCTGATATACCAGGATCAATCATATATGATATAGTTTATTGTATTTTGGGTGTATTTCTAAAAGTGCAAATGAGTTGTATTTTAATCACATTATTCATATTCGGGTTTATTTTAATGAGAACTTAATATATCAGGGTAATTATTTTCTCGTTTTGTACATCATATATGACCATTATGATCGAGTGTAGCAAGTTAAAACCAATCATAATCGTCATATGTGAACAATTACAACAAATTCATTACCTAATTTTGTACAAAAAAAGTTACTAAAATATGAACAAAACGAAAAAGTAATTATCCTGATAGGTCAATTTCTCTTTTTATCAAGACGGTCGATTATAATGTTTGCAATATTAATATATTCAATTAAATTTCCATAAAATAATATTTATAACAATTTATCAACATTTAAATTGGCCACAACATGTTGGAAACTATTTTTGGTAGCATAATTATCAAATAACTTTATATACATATGAGGCATGAGTAATTTTATTGATATAGATAAAAACTATTTCTGTTTTTTGTATTTTAAAATTTTATAATATATGGAGTAAACTTCATTGAAGATATGATTTTTTTTTTCTTTCTTTCTTTTTTTTTTTTTTTTTTTTTTTTATAAAAGTAGTGTATTTTTAAAAAAGATATATACTAAAATGGTATGGTTTTGAAAATATTTACCATTTAGATTAAATTTTATACCAAATCAAAATTAAAAGGTAAATAAAAAAGAATGAAAATTAAATTTTCAGGGTAATTATCTTTTCGTTTTATTCACATTTGGGTAATTTTTTTAGTACACATCTAAATAACGAACTTGTTGAAAATGTTTACATATAACCATTATGATTGATTATAAACGGTCATAATTATCATATGTGAACATTTTCATGAAGTTTGTTATATATATAAAAAAAGTAATTACCATGGTAAGTCAATTTTTTTATTGTAATTGAAATTTATTGAGTTTTAGTTTGAAGTACAAAAGATTGCGACTAATAACTATGATTTTTTTTTCTTATTAAATTAATGTCTTTCACAAACACAGCATTTTATATCAAAATTGCATTGTCACGTCAAAACTGGTGTGCTTAGAAATGTATTTTTTCTATAATTGATAACAGTAAAATATAATGAACTTTGGTAGGCGTTTTAAAAGATCATAAACAAATGGCCATATTAATCATTGGTCGACAATCACATTTTATTTCGTTTTAACCACAAATAAATAAGATGTACTTTATTTCTATTTCTATACAAGGCACCACAAACTACTATCCTGGTTATTTTTTTTTTTTGTTAAATCACAATTGAGACACTATATTTATTGGTGAAAAAGGAAAGTATACAAACATGAAGAACCTTGACCAAAACATAAGAGACGTAGCTCTAATTTGTAAAACGTATCACCATGGAAATGTATGAGCTTCAAGTTGGTTTTTAACTAAAAGGCAAGTGGATGCACATTACTAGAAAGAAGTATAATAAAAACCAATATTTAATCTACAATTGAATAATCTATATAACTTAATGGACAAGCTTATTAAATCAAAATTATCCAACGTGAGCATCAATATCACATGGGAATCTTTCAATTAAAATAATCCCCTATGTGCTTTCTTCCACCATATAAAATTCATCAAAAACTTCATCACTGTTTATTGAAAGAGCTACAATGGAAGAAGAACTGGTTATTATGCCAAGAAGGAAACTAGGATCACAAGGTCTTGAAGTATCATCAATCGGTTTAGGATGCATGGGTATGTCCCCATTACACGGGTCCCCAAAACCCGAAAAAGAAATGATTCAAGTAATCCAAATCGCCATTGAATCCGGCATCACATTTCTTGATACTTCTGATCTCTATGGCCCTCATACAAACACTATCATCATCAGCCAGGTAGCTAGACCACTTATATCTTTTCGTACATTGACTATTTTGACCAAAGTCAAACCTCACAGGCTCTCAAGGGGCCCCATACGAGACAAAAAGTACAACTCGCCACCAAATTTGGGATCAAGTCACTCTCCGGTGATAAAAAGATGGTGGTTTCCGGCGATCCTGTGTATGTGAAAGAAGCTTGTGATGCTAATTTGAAGCAACTTGGAATCGATTGTATTGATCTTTACTATGTTCATCGTATTGATACAACCATTCCTATTGAAATCACGGTATATGTATATTCAAAAGTTTATATTTATATATAAATATACTCCATAAACTTGATTCATACAATATTTAATGGGGTTAATCACATAAAAAAAACATTATATTTTGCGTTTTTACTTGATTAAAACTTAACTTTATTTTTTTTGCTGAAAAAAACCTTATACTTTTTCATTTTTTCCGAAAAAAACTATCAATCTCCGATAAAGTCCCAATATTTAATGTAAGTTTACGGTTTAATCTTAATATTTATTTTTTAAACAGAAAAATCCTGATTATCTAATTTTATATGATATTTGTCATTTTCTGTTGAAAAAAATGACTATTTCGGTAATTTGCGCAAAGATTTTTCTGTGCAAAAAATAAAAATGTAGGCTAAACCGTAAACTGATCCAAAATAATGAGAGTTTATCGGAGATACCTTTTTTTTTTTTTCCAAAAAAAACCCCAACCTTGTAACTGTTTCCGAAAAATCCTCAACTTTTTTTAGTTTTTTCCAAAGAAAAACCATCACATTTTTACAAGTTTTTCAAAAAAAAAAAAAAAAAGACTAAAAGGGTCGGATCGAAAAAAAATAAAAAACAAAAGGTCCTTTTTTAGAAAAAAGTAAAGTTGAGTCTAATCTCGAAAAAACACAAAATATAAAGGTTTTTTTTATGTGATTGACTCATGAAAGTTTGTGACATTTTGTTGTTTAGATGGGGGCATTGAAGGAATTAGTGGAAGAAGGTAAGATAAAATACATAGGGCTTTCGGAAGCTTCACCAGAAACTATTAGAAGGGCACATAAAGTTCATCCAATAACAGCTGTTCAATTAGAATGGTCGTTGTGGACAAGAGATGCTGAAGAAGAAGTGATTCCTACTTGTAGGTGGGTGTTTGGTTTTTGAGTTTGATTTTAATTTTGAATTACTTTAATATAATTACGTAAATATGTATGATTTGTTTGTCTTTTTGAATTGTTTGTAGAGAGCTTGGAATTGGGATAGTTCCGTTTAGTCCTCTAGGAAAGGGGTTCTTTTCAAAGGGTCCGAAGGTGGTTGAGAACTTTGCAAGTGACGACTTCCGAAGGGTTTGTATTTTAAAACAATCTTTCTTTCTTTATTAAAATAAAAAAGCAACATGTAAAAATATCGTTGGATTTGTTAAATTTGAAATATAAAATATCCATACTTTGTTCAATTGCCAACATTGTAGTTAAGGGGCTAGAATTAGAAATACCCTTTTCAAGAATCCTTGATTGAGTTCTTGTTTCTTTTTAACTTAATGTGAAAAACATGTTTTAATGGGTTAAATGAGAAGATGGACATTTTATGTATTTAGAGTTTCTAAACAAAAGGGTAAAATTGTCATTTACGCACATTAAAAAGATACTTTTATTCATACAAATGGTTGTTTCTTATTCATCTACATTAAGTCCTCTTAAGATAAAACTGTTAAATGGGTGATGATTCTGTCTGGATAAAATGTTGTATATCCTAATTTTTTTTTTCTAGGTTGAATGGTCATATTAGACTAAATAATCGTTTTACCTTTATATTCTGAAAAACTAATTTCACAACCTTTATCGATTTTAACAGTATTCATCAAATTCAACATGAGAGGAGTTGGGAAAAAAGGAAACATATTAAACCATATTCTTCAACTTAACGCATTAAGTCATTCTATCCCGATTAAGTATAACAAAGAACAATCATATATAATTGTCCGAATTAGGGGTTTAACCTATTAAGTTAATTAAGTCCATATAAAAAACAACAGACAAATATGAATCAACAATTCAGTACTTTACCCATACAATATTTACTCTTTAGATCCATTTGTTTTGATTGTTTAAGTAAATTTAACATTCCCAATTCACGTATCCTACTTCTATAACATGAAATCTTGGCTACTTTTAAACGTTTATAAAGTTTTTTTAAAAGCCAATTTTTGGGCAAATTGTGATAATTCATCATCTTTTGCAGCATCTACCTAAATTTCAGGGTGAAAATTTGGAAAACAATAAGATTGTATACGAAAGGGTGAATGACATGGCAAGAAAGAAGGGATGCACCCCGTCTCAGCTGGCGCTGACATGGCTCCTACACCAAGGGGACGATGTTTGTCCTATACCTGGTACAACAAAAATCGACAACCTTAAACAAAACATTGGATCGGTTTGTGTAAAATTAACGAATGAAGACATGTGTGAGCTTGAATCTATTGCCGCAGATGTGAAAGGCGATAGGTATTCACCTGCAGTAATGCAAGACACGTGGAAATATGCAAACACTCCACCATTGTCATCTTGGAGAAGTGGATGAATCTTGGAGGACTTGTTTAGACTATACGAAAGATTCTATGTTTGACTATTACTTTTTGAACTTTTAATTATCGATTTGATCATAGTTTTATATGTTTTGATTAACAACAAATTAAGATTAAGGGTATTTTCGTCATTTACAACCATTTTGATTTAGGTAACACCGGTTTGGATGTTGAAAAACTTCTTTTCAGTTTTCACATGTTTACAAATTAGGTGGTATATTTTTAAAAGAGATAGTGAATATGGAGCATTTATATACTTAAAGCATAAATATAGAACCACTAAAACAATTTATGAATTTAACTTAACATAATCATTAAGCTAACTAACTGCATATATCAAATCTCCACTTTTACCGATTAAATAATAAGTCCAATTTCATTGTTTAAGAACATCACTTATTTCCAACTTAAATCTGGATATTTTAGCTAATATTAACCAGTAATTATAACAAGGATAATCAATTTATCTACATTCTATCAGGATATCAGCACTAGGTTAAACGCTAGTTTCACCGATTTAACTAATTCATGGAATTAACAAACCCTACCTTTGATTTCGGGTTTTTAATCTTTCATAATACTCCAAATCAGCAAGAATTCCTAGGCTCCGGTTCCAATGGAACCTTAATTCCGGAAACACAGTGACCACATTAGCCAAAAGTTTGAAATAATAGAATTAGGATACTTGTACCGTAGTTTCGAGTCAAGAAAACAAGTAGGAGGCTGATTTGGGTATGAAAACTGGTGGTCGAACCCCCACCGTCGCGACCTCCGCCATCTATTGCCACCATAGTGCCACCTACACCTTCCAGCCACAGCTGCTACAGCCCTCCTCTTCTCGCATCCCTCTCTTATCGGCGATCGCTCTTGTTTTCCGTATTTGCGATCGACAGCCAGTCAGCCACACACGAGTTGTGTGTATTTTTGGGATGTTTGGAAGCAATTTTTTAAAGGGATATTGACACACTAGTACTTCCTGTTTGTACCATTCCGTTAAAAACTAAACCAAGTTATAGAAAGGGTTAACACTGTCATTTTCATATACATTTGACATTGAACTTGTTTGACCTTTACATATTAAGGTAATATGACTGATGATCGTATGTTATTGTTGATTTGCCATATTACGTGGCATATTCACCCTCTACTCATCCTTTATATAACCTAGCGATATATTGTTATGATTTTTACCTTAGGAAAAGATTGGTGCCCTAAAATGTCGACGACTTCTTCAACATTCTCCCCCTCACCTCTAAGGCTTGGATTCACCATTTGCTAATGTGGCATTCTATCTTGAATCCGCACATGAAGGACGGAAAGCAACCCTAGAAGAAAGTTTATGATATGCCCGGTATGCCATTTTTTTTTTTTTTTTTTTTTAGATTTTGGTTCATATTTGTTGTTGTATTGGTTATTTCACTCATTGATCCTCTTGTTTATGTTATTGGTTTATGTAGAAAGTAGAAGAAAGGTGTGGTGTTTGGGAATGAGTAGAACTTGATGAAACACTTCAAGTTATGCAACGTGACATTTTGAGCTTTAGAAAAGAACTGGAAGAAGTAAAGAATAAACAATTTACTGTTAAGTGTTTGTTGGTTGTTTTCATTGTGATGTGTATTTAGTCTTTTGCAGATTAATTGTAATCATAAAGAATAGACTAATGCTAAGGTTGTGTTGGTTGTAATCTTTTAGATGGTGAAATGGTATTTCTAATCTTTTGAAGTTGTATTAAGATGTAATGTACTTTGTAACACTTATTTTGATATGAATGGGATCTGATTTGTTATATTATTTTGATATGAAACAAATTTCACAGAAACAGATTTCAAAGTAAGATGCTAAAGTAGAATCAAAGTAGGTTGATAAAATAGAAATTGTTTTGACCAATTTACCCTTGGATTTGCAGTTTTGGTAAAACAAATTTCATAGAAATAGATTTCAAAGTAGGATGATAAACTAGAAATTATTTTGACCAATTTATCCTTGGATTTGCAGTTTTGGTAAAACAAATTTCATAGAAACAGATTTTAAAGTAGCATGCGCATTAATAGAAACAGTTGTACTACAAAATACCCTTAACACATTAATCAAAATAACCTTGAAGCAGGTTATGACCAAAATACCCCTTAACTAGTATCATAGTAGCATTACATCATTCTAGTAGTAAGGTAGCATAGTTACATTACAAAGGACTTAAGGTTTGTTACAAATTCCCTGCAAAAGACTAAAAGTTTGTGTTAGACAAAAGATACTAGTAGTAAAAAAGCACATCATTCTAAAGTTACTGGCTTGTTTTGACTGCAACCAATCCCGCCTTTGGGGAAAACTTTCTTACTTAGACCAATATTGGTTATACGTTCCGAAACTTTCCTCTTTCGCACATGCATCTTTCCAATTCTTGAAGCTTTGGGAGCTTGAACAGGAGCTTCAATAGAAGCTTGAACAGGAGCTTGAACAGGTTCTTGTACATATTCTTGAACGGGTTCTTGTATAGGCTCTTGTACGGGTACATGTCCACTCCATTTCCAGTTGTACTTCCCCTTCCATTTGTAATTCCCCTTCCTGAGAAAACAAACTAGTATTAGTTTCCAATTACATAGAACTACACTAAATAAATTCATTTTTACCTTTTCCTAGACAACTTGATTTCTTGTGTCCAATGCCTCTGCAAGTACTACACTTTTGCAACCCTTTTGCACATGATATTGTATGCGTCTTTTTACCTGTACCTTCTAATTCTAACTTATCCTTTGTTCGTTTAACTTTTGGTCTGCTCGGTAGTCTTTTTTTTTTGGAGGTAAATGCTTCTGATAAATTGTTTTCGGCCACATTGGACTACCATGTAAAGGGTGGACATTGTAAGTGTAGCTTGAAAGGAAACTTTGTTTTCTAGAACAAGGTGCCACATACGATTGTGCATTGTGATTCAAGTATGCAATTACAGCCAAGCCATGCAAGCATGGGATACCTCTCAACTGTTAACTTCTACATTCACATACCCTTCTGATTAGATCCACATCAAATGCATCATTACCAAATCTTACTTCAAATTGTTTATAGCCACTTGGATAAACTCCTCAAAAACTGTAAAAAAAGCAAGTTAACACCCCAAATCAAATCAATCATTAGCTACTGTAAATTTAGAACATTAGGTTACTTACCTTTGAGTTATATTATTATCTTGTAACTCCTTTCTAATTGTTGGGAAAATATCCAAATCCCACTCTTCACCCATGATCCTTTAATTATACATCCTCTCCGTGGCCCAAACCCTTATTTCTTCCAACATTGTGATGATCGGCTTTCTTCTAGCATCCCAGATTGCATTATTAAAACTTTTTGAGACACCATTTTCCATAGCATCACAGATCCTCCCTTCTACAAAGAAAGCCTTTGACCAAGATTTTGGTTCCCTTTCAATAAGATGATCATAGGCATTGGGGTATAATTTCTTAATTCCATCCACGTCTTCTTCAAACTGTGGTACAATGGTACTATTTACAGCAACCCAAAACAATTTCCTGTAATGTTCATCAGCAAACTTCTTCTTAAAATTAGCATATATGTGCCTAACACATTGCCTATGCTCAGCTTCTGGAATCCTTTCTTTCACAGCTTCTAACAGTCCCTGTCAAAATTAAAACATGTTGGTGAATGTAAAACTTAATGTTAAACAATTAAAAAGTAAAAAGCATAAAGCAAAAAGAAAGCAATCTAATACCTTATGTCCATCTGAAATGATAGTAAGCCGACTACCATTTCCTCCTCCAATGTCATCCACGAGAATGTCAAGAAACCACTTCCAATTAACTTTATTCTCAACATTTACCACAGCCCACGCGATAGGGTAGATGTTGTTATTCGTATCTCTACCCATTGCTGCAAGAAGCTCACCCTTACACAAGCCTTTCAAGAAGCAGCCATCTACACAAATCACCTTTCTACATCCCTTTATCCAACCATCCCTAACACCTTTGAAGCAGACATAATACTTTGAAAAATATATAGTTGAGTCAGGCATGATGTCCACATCCATTCTTACCGTAGACCATGGGTTAGACCTCATAATCTCCTCACCATAATCCCACAATCTTCCATAATGCTCAACCAAAGCACCTTCAATCTTACTCAATGCAAACCTTCTTGCATTTCTATACTGCCCCAAACTAACACTAATATTAAATTTTTTGGAAATTTTAGCTTTCATTTTCATTAAGCTCATTTTTGGTCTTTATAATATTTCATTAACAAAATGCTTCCTAATCCTATAACTCACAATTACTCCAAGTTTGAATGACCTGGAGCAATTGTGATCATCTTTCAGTGACTTAATTTGAAAAGAATGTTCGTCCTTCATCCAAGTGGCCTAGAGTCTAAATGGACATTTATGTGTTGTACCTTTTCTATATTTAGCTAACAACTTGTTCTTATCACTTTTTTCATACCATAAACTGTATCCATGTCTAACAACATAATTACTTAGTAAACATTTAAGCTCATCGGGGTCAGAAAACTTCATACTAGTATAGGAACCATCTTTTTCCAATTTTGGTTTGGATCATGGACAGGATACATTGGTTTCACATCAACTTCTTCGTCTGTTGCATCTGTTTCGGAACCATCTTCCGATTTCTTTTTGTGACAAAGGGCATTAAGAAATGAATCATCAAGTGGTTTCTTACTTGAAACCACCTCATTCTCTTCATAGTCAGGTAATATCGCATCCGGAAATGTGGAATCATTAACTTCATCTTCATCCTCTATAACCGAATCATATATATCAGGATTCTCCGCCCCAATCCAATTGAAAATGGGTTCACTGTACTGATCAATGTACACATTAATTCTTTTTTCTTGGCTTCCATTACCAACCTTAAGGAACTCTCTGTAATATCCTTCATTATGAATTACTCCTAACCCTTCACTCAACCTTTCATGTGGAAGACAGTAGTAAACATCCTTGCAGTTGATCTTCTTTGTGAGCTTTTCAAGGAGGGTATTGAAATCTGAAAATACCATAGCATTGAAGTCGACATCTCATACAGATGCAATGTCTAGGTCGAAATATGCAACAGGTTGGGGGGATATACACCATTATAGTGGACATCCACGATGAGCGATGATCCCTTCGTCATTACAGTCAAAGAAATAGAAAGCGATTTCAATTGCAAAGGTTTGACATTGCGAACGAAGAGAAAGGGGAACGATGGAATGAAGGAATGAAAGCGGTTGTTTTTTTTTTGTTTATGAGCCCTAATTCCAATTACCAAGTAATTTCATTTAATGACACCTAATACAACATAATGCCACATAATATGCCAAATCAACAAAAACCTACGATCATCGGTCATATTATCTTAATATGTACAGGTCAAACAAGTTCAATTAGCAAATGTATACGAAAAAAACATTGTTACCTTAATGTGTACTGACCCTAAATTACGCTACCTTTCTATGTCATTAACCCTTATAGAATCGAAGTTAACCTGCTTAGTTGGCATAGTGATGTGGCAAAAAATAAGACAATTTATTGACACGTGCCCATAATTTAACAAATAGAAAAGGATAATGTTGACAACAAAACAATCTTCCTTTTTAGATCACATATATATATATATATATATATATATATATATATATATATATATATATATATATATAATGATTATTCATTTTTTAAATTTGTCATATTAATTTTGTAAGAACCACTTGTATAAAATTAATACTCTTTAAAATGAAATCTATTGCCACATCAACAATCATTTTATA